TGGCTGCTTCCAGCAGAAAAAATGTGCCATGTCATGTCAGCTACTGTGTAATGTCATCATTTCAAAATGGACCAAAATCGCTGAGGAACATTTCCTGCACTCACTGGACATTTTATCTACTTTAATCCTATATGGAAAATCTGTATCTGCTTTATTTTCCATTTAATATCGGATGCTTTAAGGCCACGATGCTTACATTTCATTTCCCTCAAATACGTAGAAGTGTTCTTTAAATTTTGTGTCAGTGCCCTGAAGATACAACGATATTAACACTGAATTTATGTGTGTGTGTATTAAAGTAAAGCTCTCGCCCTGCTTGAGACGGAGAGGCTGTAAGCTTACCGTACGGGCTCCAGTAAGTTCCAGGAAGTAGTCCTGCATACTGTCCATTTCGCTGTGGTTGCTTATATCAACGCACTCATAATGTCCCGGCTTGAACTTGTATTTCTCCAAAACCTCTTGAGCCATGGTACAGTAAGGACAGGTGGGTTTCAGAAACACCACCACTTTGTCGCCTTTAATTTTCGCCTGGACAAACTGCTGCGCCATTTTAAGTTTCTTGGTAAAGTGACGAGGAGGTGAGGAGTTCCCTACTTCTTTCCTTTCCTTTTTTTTTTCTTTCCAGATTAATTTTTTCGATGCAGAAGAAGAAATGTGATCTCTTTGTTTTCAACAGTCATTGGTTAAGTCAATCATTCCAAGTCACGCCCTCCTTCTTAAAGAGACAGCGCACAGATTGGGCACGAACAGCCACAAGAGTAAAACCACTGAGTAGGGAAGTGGTTGTTGGTCATCTGACACAAATCTAAACACTACTGCAGACCAGTAGACAACGTAAGATGCACGTTGCTTGTGTGTCTGAAAAAAGTAGAGCCAGTTCAGAAGTATCTTAAACCTGCATTATGTTTAACGGGCAGCAGGGGGCGACTCCGCTGGAGTTTGTAGTTTCAGACTGTACTGAATGCAGGTGTGCCCATTTATCCTGTAAGCATCCAGTGTCCTCCCTGAGGTTTCATAATCGGACGCCACAAACCAATAGATGACATCGCTGCTGCTATTGACATAGGAACAGCGATTTTCATCTCTGGCTCTCTTCCACAGTGCGTCTTCCTCCTCTCACTGCCAACCAGCTGCAACAGGAGACTGTCCCTCCCTGATCCTGGTTGTGCCTGAGGTTTCTTCTTGTTAAAAGGGAGTTTTTCCTTTCCGCTGTTGCCAAGTGCTTACTCACAGGGAGCATTTGATTGTTACTGTAGGGTCTTTACCATACAGTATAAAACACCTTGAGACGAATGTTGTTGTGATTCGACACTATATAAATAAAACTGAATTGAATGTTTTATACTATCTACATGCAGACTGCGTTAGAGCATGGGCACCCACAGACAGCTGCAGCAATTCATAGAAGCACCAAGTTCAAGTTGTAGGAATTTTTTTAGGGCTCTTCCCCCAAGTCTCACTTACCAAATGAGTGTTTCAAATACAGCTGACAGCATAAAAACTTATAGTCAGTGATGTAAAGTAACTTGTTATGTACATCAGTTATACAGTTAGATTAAAAATTCATGTTATTTCAAATACTTAAAATAAAATTTAAAAAAATCATGTTGCAATAACCAGTTTGTTATCACCAGCGTTGGTGATTACAGAGGGGTTACATCCAAGTCTATTCTTTTCTGGCTTCTCTGTGGATTATGTCTTCTCAGCCTGTGGCAATGCTTCGTCAGCAAAGCCACTGGGATAAATTTGAGACATCATAAAGGGTAGGAACATGTGAATGCTGAATTGTCATAGTGAGAGCAGTATAATAAGAAATAAGAACCAAAGTGATATTTTGGAATTCAGAACGGCATCTGTCACTGATTTAATTGAGTCTCACCGGTTTTCTTCCCCAAGCCACAGGGACAAGCTACATGGAGGCCGGAGGCATATTATGTATGCAGCTGTTTCCTTGTCTGGTGCAGGGAAAGCTTCCAGGCATATGAGAGACTCCGGGGACCACATGAATCTTTGTTAAACAAGGGATGTTATATCCGAACAGGTAGCCTGATTTTTTTTTTTTTTTTGCATTTAGATGAGGGTGGAACATATATGAGTGTTTGCATTTTTGTTTCCAAGAACTGAAACTGAAGGTGTGAAGAATACAAGTTCTCACGCCACACATCTTAAAACATACTCAAACATCAGATCAAGCTGCCTCTCACAGTGAGTCACAGGATGCATGCTACAGATTAAAAAGAATAAATGATGCCCCTTACTCCGTGTTTGTGGGTCAGACTCAACCATCATTTTGATCTCAACTACTCTGTTATAAAGTTTCATGATTATATCTTGCACATTTTTATTGGGTTTTTTGTGTGTGTGCCCATAAGTACCCATAACTGTTTTACAGTTGTGGGTATTTTTGCATACACCAGTCCATCTAAGCTCTGTTATTACCAGCTGCATCACCGAGGCTGGTATTGTTTACACCCTGTGAGCTTGTCTGTCTCTTTGTGGGTATGATCGTGGCAAAATGTGCTGCTAGACACACTTTAACCACAAAAGCAGTTTTGAGGACTTCAGCAGGTGTTTGTGTGTCTGTCTTCTGTGCATGAAGCTGTTGCAACACTGTATAAAATGTTAATGAGGTGAAGCTGAAAAATGAAAGAATTGGAAGATGAGCGCTTGCTATATATCACTTTTCTGCTATACTGGAGTACTCAAAGTGCTTTACACAACATACCCAGGCAATTTCTTTCTACACCTTTGTAACATTTAAACTGGTAAGCAACTTGGTAAGCAAGTATCTTGTTCAAAGAGACATACAGTCTGGAGCAGCAAGGGATCAAACCATCAACCTTCCAGTTAGTGGATGACCTGCTCTACCTCCTGAGGGTCATCACCCCCAGGTGTTGGCATTTATCTGCCCTGTCATCAAGTGAACAGAAATGCACCATCTGAATGTTAGTCACACAAAATAGATTAGACGAAACTTTATTAATCCCTCGGGTGGGTTCCTCTGGGAAATTCAGTATTTATATATTTTTTTAGATTAGAATATCACAAATAAAATATGATCCCTTTCTGGACCCACTCAGTAACCAGGACACTAGTATCAGATAACTCATGTTCTACCTTGTGTTCATTGCTTGCAGACATTAGTAGTAGGCATCTGCTCATATAACCGTTATTTCGTTTCTGAAAACCAATCTTATATTAAAATACGTGTGACAGGTCACAGGATATTTTAACATTAGTTGTACCTCTCATTGAAATTGAATTTTGAAACACTGGATTACTGCCAGCTAGCTTGGATCTCATTCCTATGAAGCCACTCTCTGATGCCATTAGAAAAAGTTATATTTAAGTACCTTTTAATTACTAACCCACTCTTAAGTCTTTGTACTATACATCTTTCTACTTTTAATTGTCTTTTGCATACAAGCCTTTGTAAAAAACAAAAAACAATCCCAACACGATTTAATAATAACTATTTTGTGATTAAAAGGGGAAAAAAAATTTTTTTTAAAAAAGGAAGCGAAACATCTTTCAGGTAAAACTGTGTTGATTTTTATTGAAATGTCTTGTACATTTTCAGATGGGCAGAATCAGATTTCTTTCATAATGGACTTGTGGCTTCTTGTTTAAACATTGCTGGGAAATCTAAAACTTCCTCGGTATTCCTTACTAAACCCCTCCACACTGATTCATATACTGTTTGTTCATTATATTCTGAATTAGCTCTTACAGCTAATTCCCCCCCCCCAAAAAATAAACATCTTTGGAAGTTATGTGAAGTAGCCCTTTGTAGCTCTTAATTCTGGGAAATTATCACAACCAGGAAAAACAGTACAAATACCAGCCCTTTCCCCCACAGCGGGATGGACATTTTTCTGTTGTTGTGACACCTTGTAGATACAAGTGCTAATTATCTGTCCAAAATAAAAAGTTAAGGAGAGTTTGCTATAAACCTAAATTGATTCTGACAACCAACCCAAAGAGCCAGTCTACTGCAGAGACTGACTATCTGACAGAATGCCACAATCACATATAATGAAAAACAGGACAGAACAATATTCATTTTTGTGGGAAATGAAAATAAACAGTGCCCCCCCAAAACAAAGTACAGACTCTTGTCTGTGAAATATTTCACACGTCAACAGCACAATGACAAAGTTCCTCTTTTACATCCCTACATTTAAGGAAGTTTTATTTCAGTGAAAGAGAGACATCGCATAATCAATGACTTCTCAACATTAGCCCCAATCAGAAATTTGACTCCATGGAAGCATGACCAAAGAAACAAAAGGCAATTACATTTTTTGGCAAACATTCTAAAACAACTTAGTAAATAAAATTTCCCTCATTGAAATAATTTCATAGAAGCCATTCATCCAAATCTGTATCCATGTTGAAAAAGAAATGCTCCAACTCACACCTTTCATTGCTGTGTGGAGCTCCAACTGAGAATCAAACGCACTGACATCATAATACAGAGAAGTCCACTGGTGGATGATAACATTTTGCTTCCTTTCAAACCTTTAAAAACAAAAAAACAAAACAAAAAAAACCTGTTTGCCGCTGGATAAAGCTCGAGAGGTTGAGAGGTTGGGAGGAGGGGGGGGGGGGGGGTAGTCCTTTGCAGGGTCTAGAGAAGAACCAAATAAGGATCTTCCTTCTTTCTTCAGGTAGGATCAGGTACTCTTACTCCAGCCAGGTCGATCCTGAGTGTTCCTGGCCGGTTTTAAACACTATAGCAGCTTTTTTTTGTTTGTTTTCTAGATTTCTTCATTTCTTCTCCACATTTCTATTTTTCCTTTCATTCAACATAATACACATCCATACAACTACACTCACAATTTGTAACACTCCTTCCAGACTTTACATCCCTTCCTCTCTCGATCACT